GTGGTCAGAGAGGCCTCCCAAAGGAGGCCCCTCCCCAGAGTCGCAGGTCAGCAGGACGCAGTCCTTCCTTCCTGCCCTCCCTCCTCCTTTCCTGGGGCAGGGATGGGGTGAGTGCCCATGTCAAGTTCAGGAGTGGCCTTGACAATCGGCGTGACCCTGTGTGGCCCGGGTCGCTGTGGGCTTTGGTGAGTGTGGAGAGAAGGCTTGGGTTCAGCCAAGGCCAGTGGCCACATCAGCCAAAAGGCCACCTTGAGGCGTGTGCCCACCCACCTCTGTGGCCTCCCCACCCCAAGGAGCCACATGTGGCCTCTTCCCACCCGGCAGTTCCTACTGTCCGCAGCCACAATTCAGGGCCCATAGAATTCACACTCCCCGAACTACTTCCCCCACCAGCCGCCATGCCCTTGGCCCAAGTCTGAGTCACTCCCCACCCGGGGGAATCCTGAGGGCGGCAGGAGCCCAATCAGCACTCAGGACAAAGCCTGTCTCCTGATGTGCCCGCACAACCGCACCTGACCCAGCCCCTGCCCACCTCCCCCCTCTCGTCCCTGGCCCCTCAAGCTCCATACACCAGCAGAGCAGAGCCCACGCGGACCCAGACAAGGCGCCGCCATGTCCCTGCAGACCTCTGCACGTCTGTTCCCTTTGCCTGGAATGCTGTTCTCTCCTCGTCCCCCAGCGCTTGGACCTCCCTGTCCAGAGGCTTCCCTGGGCTGCCCCAGGCTGGGTTAGGGGCTCTCCTCTGGGCTCCCCCATCCCCCCCAGCCCTATAGTCCTCACACAAGTCAGCTCATCTGCCAGCTCCCCACCAGGCCAGGAACTTGCTGTTGGATCCTCTGGCCTGTGGTTGGTGCTCAGCGGTTGGATGATTAAGGGCCACCGTGTGATGCCCAGCTCCACACACGCGCGTGAGGCTGGGCCTCGGGAGGTCTGGGCGCTGCCCCAGGCGGGCTGCTCATTTGCTAGGTGGCCTTGGACACATCTCTTCCTTCTCTGAGGCTGCTCAGCCAGGCTCCAGGGGTTGGATGCATGCCAGGCCCTGGTATATAAGCCGTGAAGTGGCCAGGGCTGCTGAACCCCCTCCTTGCCCGGTCTGGTCTCACCAGGAAGCAGGCTCTTGCTGCAGCGTCCAGCCCCAGATGCCCTGTCCACCAAGGAGGGCCACCCGGTGTCAGCACTCGAGGTCTGGCAGCTCAGACAGAGCCTAACGAGGATGGATGGTACCAGGGTTCAGAGAGGCGGCAGCGAGCTCCTTCCCAAACAACAATTGAGTTTCCGAGAGATTCCGTGTGGCAGGGAGGTGATCCTGACAGATGCCCAGAGGTATCTGGGCAAAGATTGCTTTTGATGGAAGCCCAAATGGATATTAACGTTTATCAGCCTCGCAAACACTTCTTAGCCGAGAGCGGCCTGCTCTCCACAGCCCCCGATCCAGGTGTCTGAGCGGGAGGGTTGGGGGGCGGGGAGGGGGCTGCTGGCATTCCTCATCGTCTCCCCTGTAATGGTCCCGGAACCCCGGGCCGCGGGTATTACCATCCTCCCAGCCCAGATCCTGATGGACTTCCCGGGAGACTGGCTTCAGGTCCACCCACAGGGAAGATGCAGAGCCCGGGCTGGTGCCCGAGTCTTTCATTAAGCCTGTCCTGACCCTTAACTCTGATTTCTGGGCTTTGGCTGCTACGTTGGTGCAGTTCTGCCTGCCGAGGAGTTCCCAGAGACAAATGCCATAACTCAGATGTTCGGAGTTAGGAAAACAAGAGAGCTTTTAGCCCCCAGACGCGGATCCAGTACATTTAAATGCTCTCCTGTGGAGCTTGAAGAGATGTTTGCAGGTATGTCTGTCCCTGGGTCTTTGGGGGATTCTCAGGGGCTCTCATGCTGGCTCTGCCCTCTGAGTGCACTCGCCTGGCCCAGCCCCACCCCCCCCCCCCCCCCCTCACCCAACCTTCAGTTTGTTTCTCAGTCCATAGTCTCTCATGGTTCGTCTCCCTCTCCGACCACCCCCCGTCACCCACCTGCCTCACTCAGGCCTCCCCTGTCTCTCCCCGTGCTCGGGAAAGCCGACCCCTTTCAGAACCGATGCGGGCTGCCTGCACCCCCATGTCTCACCATGCCTTCCCCCGGGGAAGCTTCCCTCTCCCCTCTGCCTGGCCATCAACACACCAAAAATCGCACCACGCTCCTTGGTGAGAACTGGGGGGCGGCCAGGGCCAGCTTCTCCTCATGCCCCAAGTGCCAAGGGCAGAGACCTGGGGGCCCACCTGGGCACCCCTGGAAAACAGCTGACCCCATACCCTGCTTCAGGCCCCCGTGACTGTCCCCTGGACGGCAGTGGACGCCCTCTTGGCAAAGAGCTCAGTAAGGGGCGGGGTCACACACACCCTTGTCATGTTGGCTGGCCAGTGCCTTGCGTCGGGCGTGACCCATTGTTCTAAACAGTGATCGGGCCACTGATGGGCCTGTGCTGAGTGCCCCACAAGCATTCGGCGGAAGCCTTGGTCAACCTGGCTGTCCTTCCCCCTCGTCTGAGATTTGGGGAGGGTCGTAGGCCTGTGGCCCAGGCCCCACCCATCAGAACAGCCACTGGCTCAATGGCTGGGGAAGCCAAGAGGCAGGGACACAAGGGATCTCTTTCAAAGGAACCGCAGACTGCACCCCAGGCCCGCACCCATCTTGGGGGTGTCCGTGCCCAGGTGTGGCTGTGCCCAGGGGCTCCTCACCAGCAGCCCTGGGGCAGTGGGGTTCCCACCACGTCACCCCTGGCCAGGTCTGGGGGGCTCCATTCCTGGCAGCATGGCCCTGCGCTGATTTCTCTGGCCTCCCAGCCTCCCTCCAGGACATTTCCTTTTCTGCTTAAATCGGCGATTTTCTGTTGCTTGCGGTTAAGATCTCTCAGTGAGGCAAGTGGGTATCCCCATTTTACAGCTGAGGAAACTGAGGCTCAGAGAACTTAATGACTTCCCCAAGATCACACAGCAGGACTGGGAGCCACCCCCACGTCCGTCTGTGGATGTTGCAGCCCAAGCTCCCCGCTGCTCTGGCAGAGGCTTGATCACAGGCCTGTCCACAGCATGAGCCAATGGCCTCCTCCTCTACTCTCTCCCTGCTCTGCTCCAGGACGCACAGTCAGGTTACAGCTCCTGAAGCCAGTTCTTAAGCCACCTTCCTCTCTCCAGCACCCTCAGTAACTCCCCAGTGCCCGCCCCAACCCCGCAGCCTGGGATATTGATGCTAGTCTCACCTCTTCACACGCCACCCACCCTCGTTGACTCTTCCCTAAGGAGGCCACGTGCTTCCTACATCCCAGGGCCTTGTTAGGTTGCTCCCTCTGCCCGGAACACCTTCTCTTTCCTTCCCACTTACTGCTCTCACCAGCCTCTTAAGGCTTATCTGAAAAGCCGCCCCTTCTCCAGGAAACTTGCACAGAGCCTCCCCTACCTCTGCTTACCGTGACTTCTTCCACCCCAAATCCTCACAGACTCCAAGCTCTCTGGGAGGACTGCGGCAGGGATTTCCCCATCTCTGTGCTTCCCCAGCACACAGTAGGTGCTCAAAATTATCTGCCCATTTTTGAAATTAAGTGTGAAGCCAAGAACCACTAAAGAGTCAGTTTTACGAGCCCTGATTTCCATTGTCACTGGGCATCCCAACCACGGCCAACTTGGGGAGGTTGAGCAGCTTTCAGGGTGGCAGGCAGATGTCCAGGGACAGTGGTACAGGTTGTTCACTGCTCTAGGGCACCCAGCCCACATCTGTTCTCCTTGTCAAGCCCAGTGCCCCAGTGGGCCAAAAGGAAAGGACATGCATTTTTAATTTACACGAAGTCACCCAATGGCCGGTGGCAGCCCCGTTGAAGCCCAGCCCCCAAGGCTGAGCTTCAGGAGAGGGTTGGAAGGCCACTGATTTGAGGGGGAAGGGACAGCAAGCTCACTTCCTATCCCAGCTTTAGAATGGGGGGTTAGTAAACCACGGCCGACAGGATGACTCCTGCCTGCTGCCTGTTTTTAAATGGCTTATGAGCCAAGAACATTTTTAAATGGTTTTTAAAAAGCAAAAGAAAAATATTTTAAAATATCTTTTGAATAATATTTGAAGAACGCACGAACATTTTATGAAATTCACATTTCAGTGCCCACATGTGTTACTGAGATGCCGCCAGGCTCGGCATTTCCCTTTGGCCTGTGGCTCCGGTGCCCGCACGAAAGCTGAGGCCAGGAGCCGTCACAGAGGCTGTGGGAGGCGACACGCAGACCCTGCTCTACAAGGGGCTTCCCCGCTGGTGGATCTGGAGACTCCCCGGGGAATCAAGCCAGAGGCCTCTCCCCACCGCTCCGCCCCCTTCTCCCAGCTCCGGGGAGATTTCGGGGCCACCTGTGGTCACCCCACCCCGCAGCCCTCCATTGGCCGTGGGGACATTTCGTCACCCCTACTTCCTACCCAGGCAGGAAGTCACAGCAGCTCCTTGCTGGGAAGCCACGGGGGTCTCTGCTCCCTGCAGGCGCCTTCCCCCCCCCCCTTTTCCCCTTTGATCTCCTGCACACATGCCATATATTGGAGAACTTGAAAGACAGATCTACACTCGCCGGCCCTTGAGCTCACAATAGCAAGAGGTTCCTGCTGCCACGTTCCATCCCAGAACCCATCCCCGACTTGCCCAGTGCTCCCGGGGAGCCCCTGTGTTCCCAGAGGCTCGAGGCTCGGGGAGCAGGAGGTGGCTCCACGGGCAGGAGACAGGGTCTAACATCTGGTCCCACGGGGGCCCAGGGGTCAGCCCACGGCCTCCGCTTGCCCTGTGCCGATTTCTGGGGGGTGTGGAGTTCTTGGGTGAGATGAGGGGCAGGTTTGTGGGGGCCGGCGGCAGGCCTGGCCAGGGGCAGAAGGCTGGGTGAGAGGCTGCTCAGAGCCCCCAGGTTCAAGTGCGCCGCCCCGTGGGTCAGCCCGGCCCGCCTGGGCATCTGCAGGGCCCAGAGGAAGCGGGCTGTGCCGCCCGGGAGACTCACCGTCCAGCCGCCGCCATCTGTGCTCATGTCGCAGTAGACCTGGAAGCCGGCAGGGTAGTGTGTGGGGAAGACCGAGTAAATGCCATCCTCCTGCTGTCCACTCAGGAGCACGTCCAGACAGTCGCGTGGTGGAGAGCCTGGGACGGGGCATGCTGTCAGGGCTGCGCCTGGTACCTGTGTCCCCCCTCCCTACCACCACCCTCTGTCCCTGGCTCTCCCTGGCTTGTCAGTCTACCCTGCAGTGTCCCATGGGCTCCAGGGCACCAGCCTTGGGGGTAGAAGCTGGGTGAGCGTGCACCCTTTCTGAGCCTTGCTTTCTTCATCTGGAAAATGGGCACAACAGGCCGGGAGAGGGCTCAACAGAAGGGTGCAGGTAGGGTGCTCAGAGCTGCCTGGCAGCGGGAAGTCCTCAGCAAACAGCAGCTGTGTGTCCTCATCAGAGGGGTGGGCGAGGGGCCATGGGGGTACAGAGCTGGGCACCCAGGTCACCCAAGAAAGGCAGTCCCCCTTCAGCTCACCGTTGGCGCAGCCGCGGGGCCGCAGTCCCCTGGCAGGTGCCCTCTGGAGGTCAGCTTTGACACGGGGCCGGCCAACCCCCCGGTCCCTCTGCAGAGCATCTAGGACATCACTGACCGAGTTCACCAGGTGAGCCATGTGGCCTTGACTCTCGGAGAGAAGCTATGGGGCACAGGGGTAAGAGGAAGGGGTGAGTGGAAGGGGCAGGGGCTCCGGCCAGCCAGCACCTGCCAGCACGGGCCATCCCCTTCTGCCCTGCTCTGGCCCCACAGGAGCTCAGTGTCTGTGTGTTCAGAGGATGGGGGCTCGGGTGGGACGGGAGACAGAGGCTTCAGCAGAGATCTGTGCCCTGCTGCACCCCAGGCCCCGTCCTCCTCCATCTCTGTGCCTCAGCCCAGGTGAGGGGACCGAAGAAAGCTCTGCGTGCAGGGGGAGGAGGCACCGGGCACCAGGCAAAGCTGGGTTCAAATCCCAACTCACCCATTTACCAGGTACACGTCGGGGGGTGAGTGATGTAAACAAGCCTCGAAGCCGGGCTGCCGGGGCCTCCCTGCTGCAACTGCCATGGGGACTGGTGACAACACGTGGGTGGGACTCAGCACAGGGTGGGGCCCCAGCAGGGCACAAAGGACTTGGCCTTCCTTGTTACGAAAATTCATAAGGCACCTTGCAGATTACAAAACGCCCTCACCCAAAGTCTCTCCCGATGCCCAACAAGGCCGCGGAGGCAGGGGTGACGGTTCTGTGTGCAAACAGGGGGCCCTGGGATACTCCTCCCACCCCACCCAGTCCCCAACTCCACATTCATGAGTCACGGCTCCGATGTCCGCCGCCTCACCTCACCCCCACAGCATGGCCAGTGGGGAGGGCTTGGCTTGCTTGTCTCCTCGGTACAGATGGGGAAACCGAGGACCAGAAGGAGAGGTCCCTGATGGAGACCGACCTCGGGCTCTTTCCCAGGGTTGACTGGCAGGAAAGGAACCCAGGGCTGTGTCATTGTGCAGGGTAGGGGCAGGACAAGCGGGGGGCGGTGGTCTGGCCCTAGGCTCTGGTGTCAATTCTGGGTTTTGACTCAACCCCTCCTCCATTCACTGGGCGAGTGACCCTGGAAGAGTAACCGAACCCCCTTTGTGAGTGATGGCACCTATCTTTCTGGGGTGGGTGTTGGGGGTGGTTCACCAGAGCAGGTGTTTGGGGCCTGAAAGCTCAGCCCACGTTCCCTGTGTCATTCCCACCGCTCGGCCACCCTTCCCGAGATCCGGGTCTGGAGGTTTGTAGCTGGGTCAGCGCCGGGCTGACCACCTCCCCCGCCGCCCCTCCCCCAGGGACCTCTGGGCCGTGCTTGCTGCCTGAAGGGTCTGGGGGCTGTCACCTCCCCCACCCTGGGCTCTGGGAGGCTGCAGGACCACGAGGAGGGGAGGCAGGTCACGGGTGGATGACAGCCAGCCAGCCACCCCATGCACATGAGCCCTGCTGGGTCTTTACACGCTGAACCTGTCACTTGCCAGATAATAGCTCGCTCGAGGAAGGAAAATAGAAATATACAGAGCCGGCAGTTTACAAAGTACGATTCTCGGCTTGTCCAGAAGCAAGGGCCCCTCAAAAGCTTTTAGTTTCCCCGTCAGCTTCTCCTCTGCAGGGAGGGCTGAGGCCCGGGGGGAAGGGCGCCGAGGTGGGCAGGGGGGACGCTGGGGCAAGGCGGCCGACGCCTCCCTGGGCTTTCACAGCAGTGTCCTATAGACAGGCCCTGTCGAGGGAGCCCCGTGGACCACATGGACGCAGGCAGCCCCCGGAGCGGGGGCAGGGGGCACCTGCAGGGTGTGGGCAGCAGGGATCACCAGGCTTGTTGGCTAAGTCTCCAGGGTCCTGCCCATCCTTCTTCGACCACCAGACACACTCGAAGAACTAAGGCACAGCCCGCTCTTGCTGGCGGGCAGGGAAGACCTCCGTTTAAACAGCAAATGATTAAAGTTGAAAATGTACATATAAACATGCTCCGAATTAATAGGGAAAGTCAGTCCCTGCTCGCTGAGCTGCACACATGCATTAAAAAGGACCTGGCAGCTTTTAGAGGCAGCGAAGTCAAAGTTGCTCCTGGCACTTCTTGGTCGTGTGACTGAGCTTCCACAGGGCACTCTGCCGCTCCGAGCCTCCGTCTGCCCCTCCGGAGAATGGGGTGATGAGCTCCACCTCCTGGGGCCACTGTGCTACAAAGTGCCTACTACCCAAGGACCCAGTGGTTCCTATCATTACTCCCGCAAAAGAGATTTTCAGTGGTGGCTCCCCACTGGCTGCAACTTTAGTTTACAAACCATTTTATTTCCATAATAATAAAAGAAAGGCTCATCTCTCTGTGCCGGACGCCAGCTGAGCCCAGCCCGGCCAGGAGCTCCCACATCCTCCTGGGTATGCACTATACTATCCCCGTTTTGCAGGTGAGGAGACTGAGCCCAGGGAGGGCAACTGCTGCTCCTTGGTGGAGGCTGGACTGGATCCCAGCACTGCTGGCCTGAACCCTGAAGGCAGAACCGCTCAGCTCTGCAGCTCCCGGGCCAGTGGGCCATAGATGTCCGTGCCCACAAGGGCCGCCGCGATGCCTTTTTACCTGCGGGGCCCCGGGGGTTTGCGATGAGGTTCAGAGAGGTGCCTTTTAGCAAGCAGCTCTGGCACTTCTGACAGGGGGTGTCTGTGGGCAGTGCTTTGGGAAACCCAGGTCTGCGCTGATCACCTGGGGGTCTGGGAAGCTTGGAGCCAGGAGCCGCAGTTCCAAAGCTCTGCAAGACACACGGTCTCTGAAATCACCCTGAGTCTGCGGGAAATGAGTCAAATTAAACGTTCTTTTGAGAAGTAAATATAGCAGGTGAGCCAAGGCACTACCGGGGCCCCCAAAAGCTATTAGTCTTGTAGGAACAGCTCTAGGCCTCTGCGTAGGTGGGTGGGTGGGAGACCCTGAGGCCTCTCCCTGCGATTCCCCACCCCTGCCCTAAGGGCCTGGCTGAACCACGTGGAGAGTAAAGTGGGGGGCCCAGGTCACCCAGAAAATCTGGGTGATCTGCTGATGGAGAGGGCAGCTGAACACCCGGGAGGGGAAGCGCCTTCCCATCAGTCACCCAGACAGGATGACGAGGACTGTAATTTCTCCAGCTACAGCCTTCAGAGGAGGGAAAAGACCCATTGCTCATGAGCTGCTGGGTGACCGAGTGCCTGGTCATCCCCGGTGTCCGGAAGGGGCTGGGACCAATGGCAGGGTGGGGCTCACCTCCTAGTCCCTAAGGACCTGAGTCATTGGAGTGATGGGGTACAAAGCCGGAGGGTGGACAGGGCGCTGGGAGGCCAGAGGCCAGAGGCCACTGTACCCTGGACAAATCATTCTCTCTTTCTGGGCCTCAAGTTTTCTCTTCTGGAAAACGGTGGAAAACCAACAAGATGACCCTAAATCCCTGATCCTATGTGGGGCGGGGGGAGGGGGGTGAGGAGTTCTTGCTGGTGCTCCAGGAGTGGTCAACGTGGGAAACTCTTCCCCCAGATCTACAGGTGCTTGCCGGGACCTGCCTTGGCTTAGGGGAGGGGAGGGGAGCGGGGGAGACGGGGCAGAGGTGGTAGGGAGAGGCTAAGGGTCTGGTTGGGCTCTCTCAGCTGGTCCCTCCTTCCCTAGAAAGCTGGGAGCATCGAATGGTAGAGAATGGGGGAGAGAGAGCTGGGGACGGGGTACAGCTCTCTCTGGCCTTGTGGCACGGCTGGGGAGAGGGCCTGCCCCTGACCCGCCACGTGACTTTGAACCTCAAATCACTACTGATGGAAGTCAGGTCTCGAATCATCTGTACTGACGCACTTGGGAAGCCCCTTGAGCCCTGGACTTGACCTGACTGGGATGCCACGGGCTGCTCCACAAATACCCAGGGTCCCCACGGTCCCCAGGACCGTGGGTAGGAAATGGTGCCTCTCGCTGTGTGGCCTTGGATGGGACACTCGCTTCTCTGAGGCTCACTGGCTCCACGGTAGATGGCAATAGCAACAGCCCCTGGTCCTGGGGCCCTTGGGGATTAAGGGAAGCCGTGGACACCAGGCGCCCAGCACCGGGCCGGACACGCCGGCCGCAACCCCCTCCCCCACCAAGACCCCAGATGCAGACCCAGCCCCGTACCTGGATGAGGCGGCCCTGCTCGCTCTGCAGGGCGCTGAGCCCCTGGCCCAGCGCGCCGAGGCCCTTCCGCAGCCCGGCGCACTCCGCCTGCAGCTCCGAGGCCCGGGCCAGCAGCCGGGGCAGCTGGTCCACCAGGGTGTCCAACGGCTCCTGCTCGCCTGCAGGCCTCGGCTGGGCCTGGTGCTCGGCCAGCGCCTGCAGCACGGAGGCCTGGGCGCCCTCCAGGCGGGCGAAGCCGTCGGCGAGGTCGGGGCAGCGCGGGTCAATGAGAATGCTGAGGCGCGAGCTGTCGGCCCTCTCCACGGTGACCAGGGCGCTGTTGGCACCCGCCGGCCCGGTGCTGGTGCTGACGACGGGCGGGGGCGCCGTGCCTGGCACGTGGGCGTGGTTCAGGAAGAGCACGGCGCCGGTGACAGCCACGGCCAGCAGGACCGCCAGGGACAGCAGCACCGTGCACAGCACGTAGCCGCAGCCGGGCCACTGCGGGCGCACACAGACACAGAGACGGACAGACGGACGGGCGGGAGAGAGAAGGGGCGGCATCAGGGGCGGACCTGGGCTTCCAGCTCTGCCCGGGGAGGGGTGCCCAGGCAGCCTCAGGAAGGGGCCTCTGGCCTTTGTGAGGGGTGGGCAAGACTCAGAGGGCCCCCTTCTTGGGGACAGGGGCAAGGGAGTCCTACAGAGAGGCAGAGGTGAGAGACAGAGGCCCAGAGGGGAGACAGAAAGCCCGGGACCAAAGATAACAGCAAGGGCGAGTGAGTGAGAGATGCACGCAGCTGGAGATGGAGAGGATGAAAAGAGAAACTGAGGCAGAAAGGCGGGGAGACCGATGGAGAGAGAGGCGCCCTCCCCTCACTGCCCCTGCCCTGCTCCTTGTGGCCTGCAAGGGACAGGCACACCTCCCCCATGCAGCCCTCCTGGGTGGGTCAGGGTTGCAGGTGAAGGCTCCCACAGCCTCAGGCCCCCGCGCTGCCATTTCCAGGGGTTGGGGTGGACCTTGGGTGAGGGACCTCACCTCGCTGAGCCTCGGGGTCCTCACCTGTAAAACGGAGGCAATAATGGCGCGCCCTGCCCCGCACGTGGGTGCCTGCCGTGCAGACTCAGGAAGAGAGAGCTGTAACAGTGACAGCAACCACGCTAAGAATTGTCACTGTCACCGCGGAATGAGCGCCCGTCACTAAAGGTCCCTTTCCACCTGGAGCCCCTGCAGCCCGAGTCCCGAAGCCAGGGCAGGCCCGAGAGGCTGCCATGCATGAGTCCCCAGGGCGCAGGGTGGCCGCCAAGCACCTCGTCTCCTCTTTCCTCCCCTCTCCGCAGAGCAAGCTAACGGGCAGAGCCCCACCGGGCACCCTGGAGAAAGGCGCCTCCCTCCCTTGAAGGAGGCGAGGGCTGGGGCCGCTGGGCAGCCGTGCCCCCCAGAGCAAGAAAAGGCGGGGAGGTAAAAACTGGGTTCAGTGGGGGGGCTACCGGCTGGAACCCGGGGGCGCAGCTTGTCGTTAAAGGAGGCGCCGTGATCGGGCTCGCTGTACCCGATCGCTCACAGCCCCGAGGGAGCCCGCAGAGCGGCCACGGAGCATGTGGCACGTGGGGGACATGAGGCCCAGGAGAGCCAAGGGCTTGCCCAGAGTCGCACAGCCGATGAGAAGCGAGCTCAGACTCAACCCTCCAGCCTCCTGCCTCCTCTCGGGGCCCTTCTCCGGCTGGCTTTCCCCCACATTTCCAACTTTTGGAACCGGAGATGCATCTTGAAGGGAGTCAGTATAGAACGCACTTGGAGCCATGCCTGGTGCATTGTGCGTGTGCAGTAAATATTAGCAGCTTTTACTACCCCGTGATGGATGTGCACGGAGCATCGGGAAGTGTTTGGTTCTTTGTTTTCCACCCGAAGTGTTACTCCTGTATGTCACCCATGCGGGGATGCACCTTTTCATTTTCCCACATTTAACGTCTCCGATGGTGGGGGCTCCTGCAGCAGTAATTGACCCTTTCTTTCTCAGTGATACATAAAATAGCGAATCCTCTTACACAAGGCGTCTTACTGCGGGAAAGTACAAAATAGCGAACAGCTTGTTTTGCTTAAATTCAAATTCTACAAGTAAGTCCCAAATCTCCTACTTGGGACCAGAAGAAGATGGGGTCGGGGCTGAGGTGCAGGTGGACAAGAAGGCCGCCCCCCCCCAGGAAGGGTGCCGTGTTGTTGGCGAGATGAGGGAGAGAATTCCCTAGCCCGCCCCTGCAGTGATGATGCCCCCAGGACTCAGCGCTCTGCCCCTCCTCTCTCCATACCTTCCCCAGGCGGCGCATCCATCCCAGGCTCCACACGTCTAGACAGCTTACTCCTGCCAGACCTGGACACATTAGCTCCCTCACAGCAGCTCTGCATAGGCTGCTCCCTTAGCCTGAGGCATCTGCTGCCCCTGCTCCGCTTCCTAATTCCCTCTCTTCCTTCGGGGCGGCTAGATGTCACCTCCTCCAGGAAGCCTTCCTAGACTGTTTCCCCAGCCCTCCCCACCCCAACCTAGTTTTGGAAAGACTCCTCCTCCATGTTCCCACGGCCCTTGCTCCCCTCCCCCATGGTGGCACTCATCAAGACCGACAGTCATCACCTTTGACTTCATTCATGTACTCGCTCAAACATCCATTCGACGTTCACTGGGTGTCCCCATGAGCCAGGCTCCAAACCAGTCCCTGAGGATGGGGGTGGCAGTTGTCCTAGCCCTGCCCTGGGGGAGCTCATGTCCCATGGACTGTGATTCTTAGCCTATGTGGGGCGTGGATCGGTTTGGGAATCTCTGAATGCTGTGCACCCAAGGAAGGCTAGGCTGGCAAGCCCCGGGCCCAGGCGAATTACCCTGGACCACGGGAGCCCCCGAGGGCAGGGCCTGCTCGCCTGGCATGGAGCAGTTGCTCGTGGGATGGATGGGAGGAAGAGCGGATGGACCAGGTCATTTCCCGGTGACCGTGCTCGCATGGGGAGGAGGTCAAGGCCCTGCCACCCTACTGTGCGTGCCAGGGCAGAGGCTCATGACCTCCACGCTGAGCCCTGGACCTCGAGGCAAGGCCACCTCTAACCCCGTGCCACCCCTGATGGCCTCGTACAGAATGAAGGCCACCTCCAGGCTGCCCCAAGCCCCCAGTCACCTGCAGATCAGAAGCTTCCAGATTATCGCTGCCATTCCTTGAATACGTGCCCTGTTCCCGCCCCTGAAACCTCCGAACGACCCCCTGCTCTGGTTGGATTCACTTGGCGGGTGGGAAAACTGAAGCTTGGAGAGCAGAAGACCCCTTCCCAAGGTCACAAGGGAGGTACATGGGAGGGCCAGCATTTGATCCCAGGGCCGGTGGCCGGAATCACACCCTCTGTCAAGGCTGCTTGCTTCCCACAAACTTCTTCCCCTCTGTCTGGTGTGTGACTGGGGTTTGCGAGACAAAGCTCTGTGTCAGCAAGTAAGTCCCTGTCAGGCCCCTCCCCGAGCCCATCGGGAGACACCTTGCCCAAAGCAGCTCTGAGCGCCGTCCTCCAACCCAAGAACATTAAGGTCCCCCAACTGGCTAGGCAGAGCGGCCAGCCACGTCTCCCTGTGTCTCCAGGACCCTCGCCCTCTCGTGCACCTGCTTCCACCCAAGCCCCTGATCCCTGGAGGGAAGGCAGAGGGTGCTGGGGAGGGAGAGGCTTGAGAAAGCCGCAGGGGATCCCCAGAGGGGCAGGGGGATGACGGAGTTAGAGCTGAAACAGGCCACTCAGCAGAGGAGAATTAGTCTTCTGAGATCACCTTAAACATGAAGTACTGTTCGCTTTTATAGGCTGCTGTTTACGTGTCTCGCAGAGGAATCTGCCGAGATAATAAGGGGGGGCTCTGGGCAGTGGGCAGCCGATGGAGCATGCCGCGGGGCTGGGGCTTGTTAATGAGCCTTCGGCGGCCCTGAGCACCCGGGGGTCCGCAGGAAGCTGCGAAGGCACACGGGGCAAGGGGTGGGGACACTGGGAAGCTATCCCGGGCAGTGGCATGAGAGGAGCCAGGAGCCCCGGGTTCGAGGTCCAGTCTGCCCCTAACTGTGTGTGTGAGCCCCCAGCTGGAGGGACGCGGCTTCATCCCCTGTGTGACCCCCCCCCGCCCCGCCCAGTGCTGTCCCAGCCAAGGGGAGGAGGAGATGGGCTCGTGCCAGGGGACGCAGGAGACTGGAAGCTGCAAAGGTGCCTCAGTGCCCTTAGTGGAGGGGTGGTATCTTTCCCGGCTGCCTCCTCTGTGTCCCCAGCCTCAGAGGTGGTCATGGGGTCCGGCGGGGACAGGAGCGCTCAGGAGGGAGGGACGCACCGCATCGATGGCCTGCTAGCCAAACACACCCGGCCCGCCCCATCCCCTTCCTTGTCTGCTGGTGAGCCAGGGGGCGGTAGCCTCGGGGTGCACCGAGACTCTACTCCTTGTATCAAGGTCAGAAGAAGAAAGTGTCCCTCTAGGGGGAGGCCAGGCAAGGTCAGATCCAAATGCAAGCGGCTCCGAGCCCCCCATCTCCTAGGAGCACCCCAGCTGGAGGCAGGGTGGCCGTTCATCATGACGGAACCGGGTAGTGGAGCTGTGGATTGGGAAAACCAGGGCTGGGTGGTGTGCGGGCGGGGGTGCCCGGCAGGGAGGGTCTCTCAGGCACAGAGCTGCGGGGGGGCGGCGCAGAACCCCTGGGGACGTGCTTCCTCCTCACCTCCTCCCCCCAGGAGCCCACATCTTCCCCCACCGCTGGCAAACGGCTCCTACCTGGCCAACTCGGAGGCCCTGGCTCTGGCAGGACTGGGGGTGGGGATCCCAGAGATCCCCTAAAGTGAGGGGCTCAAAATCCTGGCATCCCAAAGACTTGGGAAGAGGGCCTACTAGCTTGTTCTATGGGCTCTGAGGAAGAACCCCCTGTCCTGCTAGGGCCTCTTTAAGGCACCCCACGCTGAGGGGCATCTGAAGCCTCCGGCCACCTGGAAGTTCCTGGGGGAGTGGCTAACAGGGACAAAGAGACAGGACCTGGAGAGCTGCCCAAGACCACCCCTCCTGGGGGCTCCAAGCTCCCCAAGCCCTGCCACTCCTCTGGAAGCAAGCAGCTCTGGGTCCATTTTTGGGGGGGTCTCCATATGTGTCCTGTGAGGGTCTTGTTCCCCAGCACCGCAGCTCCTGGCCTCCTGGATGGCCCAGTCAGCCCGCCGACACCAAAAACCAGGTTCCGTCCACCCCTAACCTGAGCCCCCCGAGAGTCCCACCTGGGGACGGCACCAACTGCATCACTACCCCCCCCAAAGCTGGTGCCTCACGGAGTTCCCCACCTTTCCCTCCGCCGACACCCAGCCAGCCACCTGGCTCTGTCCCTGTGCCCCCAGCCCTGCCCTGGTCCAAGCCCCCTCACCTGCCTCTAAATCACTGTGACCATCTCCCCCTGGCCTCCTCCCAACCCCACCCCCACCAACTCATTCCTCATGCAGCAGCAAAGGACCCCTCCCGAAGGTCCCGCTGAGACCCCTCTAGAGCTACGGAGGCCTCCTGCCTCCAGAGCAGGTCCCACTGGGCCCCTCAGCTCAGGGCACCTGCAGGCTCCGCCCTGAACCCTGCCCTGCTCTTTCCACCTGCCCGGCTCCTTTCCTGTCCCCCAACACACCTTGGTCTCCCTGAAGGACAGATCAGGCAAATGCTGTCCAGCTTAAACATTGCCTCCTCCGGGAAGCCGTCTCCTCTGCGCTCCCACCCTGCCTTCCATCACAGCCACCGGCTGGACTGGATGGTGAGCTCCGTGGGGCAGGGCCGGGCCCGGAGGAAGGCACAGAAAAGTGACAGAAGGGAGTCCTTGGCTTGTCGTCCCTGTGGGCCCCCGCTTCCCTCCTTCTCTCCCAGCCCCCACCTAACCCAGTGACCTCCAACCAAACCCTAGGGAACAAGAGGACAGACGCTTTTCTTTACAGCGCCTTGTAATAATACCTGACTTGTGGGTTTCTTTGTCCCCCTCATGAGACTCGAAGCTTCCTGAGGTACAGGTTCCCAGCTGTACATCCCAGCTGAGGTAGGGACTCTAAAAACAGTCACTGAGCGAATGCAGTGCAGCGGGGTTTAGGTTAGACATCAGGAAGAACTTCCCAACGAGGATTTGGTTTTCCTTCTGCGACATTTTTAGAAGTTTTGAAAGGACCAAGAGACGCCGCCTGGGATTGCCAAGGCTGACCTCCCTGTGGGGTGACGTGACTCGAGGACTGCTCAGAAGCGAGCCCCCGCCCAGGAGGAGCCGGTTACAGGGTGACTTCCTGCCCCACACTCCAAGAGAGAAGAATCGTGTCTATTTCTAGATCCTTTCATCTGAGCGACTCCAAACTCTGGCAAATATCCCACCACCATCTCCTGCCCCAAGGGTGTGAGGGCCCCTTCATTCTGCAGGGGGAGAAGGGACACTCTAATGAAGGCAGGAACTCGTCCAAGGTCAGCCAGCAGATGAGGAGCTGAGGCGGGACGGGGCCGAGGGCAGAGCGGCCTCAGGTTGTCCCCAGAAACACGTCGTGGCAGCGGGGGACCGTGAGCGCCCCGGGGACCACGCAGCCTGCACGCCGGGGCTCTCCCCCTGGGAATTACATCATGCAGCTGAGCAGACTGACCGAGGGAAGGACAGCCAACCGCTCCTGCCTTCATCTGCCTGCTGACCAAGACTGGGGTTCAGGTCCCGGCTCTGGCTCCCTTACCCTCAGTTTCCTCATCTGTCAAATGGGTTGGTCGTCCCTGCTGCCAATCTCCCAGTGTGGTTGTGGCTAAGAAGCGAGAGGTGTGGAGAGATGAGCCCGGCTACTGCTCTGAGTGTAGCAAGGGCTTCTATTCTCCCGGAGGAGGTGCCCCACTAAAGAACCTCAGCCAGGCCCTTCTGGCGGGAGCTGGGTGGTCAGCTCATTCTCCCTGGCGGGCAGAGGGAAGATCAGGACACTGACAGCCTGCAAAAGGGAACAGGCTACGGTGAGGACCACCATCCTCACAGGTGGACAGTGCTTTGCAGTTTGCAAAACACACCAGGATTTCACCTGACCCTCCGAGGAGCCCGACACCAAACCAGGTTCTGGAAGTGAGGAGGAAGCAGGAAAAGCTGTTCTCATTTTGCAGGTTGTAAGCCCAGACCCAGAGAGGGGGAGTAACTTCCCCAGAGTCACACAGCATGTCAATGGCCGAGACAAAACTAGGAACATGGGAGGAGAGAAGGCCAGATCTGAGGGAGGAAGTCGAGAGGGACCCAGGACAGCGAGGCTCTCTCTTTCAACAGTGAGCTCAGGAAAGGCCCTGCCTCTTCTCTGAAGCTTCCAACGAGCCTGGGGCTGGCGCAGGGGACAGCCTATCTGCATGCAAGGTCACCAAAGGAGTGGGAAGGGGAGGTCGTGCTTGATATTGGCCCCAGGCCCCTGGGGCCACAAGCCCTCAGCTGCCTCTGATGCCAAGGGGGCAGACAGCCGGGCTCTGGCTGGTGGCAGCTGGACTATGCAACCCAGGCAGCCGCAGAGGGAGGCCCCGAAGCCACAGCTCAAACAGATCCCCCAGAAGCCACCTCCCCTTGAGACATAGCGGCACTTGCCTGGCTGAGGATTCATGCAGTTCAATTCAGCAAATGTCCCTAAGCTCCCACCCCGACTGCATGGAAGGGCAGGAGCCTAGGCCCAGGGGAAGAACTAGAGATGGGGGCCCAGAAGGAGCATGTGTCCAAAGGGAGCTCCTGATAGAGGAGAGCCCTGGGGCAGGGGGACAAGGCAGTGAGAAAAAGGCAGCTGAGGAGAACAAGCTAAATGCTACCAGGACTTTGAGGCACAGCCCCAGAACATCAGGGAAAGCTTCCTGGAGGAGGTGGCATCTGAATAGGTTTTGAAGTACATGTAGGATTTCCCTGAGCAAAAGCAAAAGGGTGTGAGTGTGTGTGTGTGTGTGTGTGTGTGTGTGTTGGAGATCTCGGTGGGGCCAACAAGATGACACTGCAAAGGTCTGGAAACGGGCAGCCTAGTGTGGGACTGGGGTTTGGCAAATGACAAGCAGTCAGTCCCGGTAAGGGGGCTAGTGGGAAAGGAGAATGGGTCAGGCTGGGGATAGCCTTGAACAAATCTAGGAGGTAAGACTGCTCTTGCTAAGAGGGTAAAAAGTCAGATCTTAGCAGGAGAGGATTTTTTTTTTTTTTTAATCTGGGATTGGCTTGGGTGTCGACCTGACGGAAACAAAGGAACAGACCACCTGGGAGGCATCGGGAGCTGCTGGGCTCAGACCTGCGTTCGAATCCTTACTCTCCTGCTAACACGCTGTGTGACCTGAGCGCATGCCTCAACCTCTCTGAGCCACGTTAGCCTGTGACATGGGAATGTGCCTCCCTGCCTAGCCCCCAGGCTGCTGCAGGAAGTGAGGTTGTGCAGATGGTTGGGAAGGAGCTTTGCAAACTGTGGAGGGCTGGGCCCCCACACCACGGCACTGTCCCTCCAGACAGAAGGAGCAGGTTGAAGCCCTGGAGAGTGAGGGGCTGTCAAGGCTCGTCCGTGCCGCCCCCTCCTGCCACTGTAAACACAAACGGCTCTTTCCCCAATGACATCTGTCTGGGAGAAATTTGAAATTTAAAACGGGCAGCCCCATTATTTCCTCTCCTTGGCGAGCGGGCCTCCTCATCTTGCCTGCCTGCCCCAGTCCCTGGGCAGCCTGGCCTGGGGCAGCCCCAGGGCTGTCCCTCCACTCAGCTTCGCATCTCCAGCCCCCTCTTCGGCCAGCCCTGGAGCTCTGCCCTCACCACCCCTCTTCCCAGTGCACAGCCCTGGGCACCCTCCAAGCCTACCCCCTCCACTGCCCCAGAAGAGGCAGCAGGAAGGGTGCAATGAACAGGCCCTGGCACCACGGACCCAGGTTCAAATCTCAGCAGAGCCTCATGGCCTCCGGCAGGAGCAACCCTCTCTGAGACCTGCTTTTCTTGTCTTAAAGCTGGAGAACCATGATACCCAAGCTTCTCACTTGAGACAAACATTTATTGATCCTTTAGTGTAGAGCACGGGCCCTGTTTAAAGTGTGAGGATTTAGAGGAGATCCAGGGGGATCCGCACCCTGGTCCAGAAGCTCAGGTTACCATGCCAGGCGCCTGGCACAGGGTGGTGCCCAGGGTGGAGAATTAGCAAGTGATTAAGATGCCCATTGTAGAGGTGAGGAGACAGACACTCAGCGAGGGGTTTGATTAGTGTGGCCGCACGGTTTACTGAAGGGCTGGTCACCCTGTGAACTAGAGGTCCCTTACTCCCTCTGCTCATGCGGGCACCGGGAGGCTGTTGGAGGCTCAAGAGGGCCATCTGCCACAGCGCTATGCACGGGTGCTGCCCCCATCCGCACCCCGAACCCCAAGTTCAAGCCTCTTCTGGAGGAGGAGGAGAGGAGGGCGTCGCCTCGCCCCAGGCCTCCGGAGCCTCGCGGGGTGCACCCCAAACTCCAGCCTCGAGCTGGGCGCCCACCCGGCCGGCCGCAGCGGCCACCACCTCGCCAACCGCGCGGGCCCCACGTCCCCACGCCCCCGGCCCGCGCGTACCTGCGGCTTGTCACGCGGCCGGTCCTCAAGTTGGGAAGCGCCGCCCCTGGTCTTCCACCGGTCGTTGACCATCTTCCGGCAGGACCGGCGGGGGCGCCCGGCGAGGCGCGCCGCTGCGGAG